TTCTGCTAACTAGAATGTAGTAGTAACAGTAGTAGTAGTAGTCGACTAGGAAAGACTGGAGTCACTTAAATCACTGAGAAAAAATGATTGAAATATAAACAGAAAAAATAAAACATAAAAACTCCAACATTTACATAGGACCCATCCTTAAAGGGCCCCTATTACACTGTTGTGATCTGATCTTACCTAGAGCTGAGACCTAGAGTTGTGTTTTGTTTCATTCACACATTTTCATCACACAAATCCTGGATATTTTAGCTGAGTTCATATGTCAAACTGAAAACACTCATGTCATGGGGTAATACAGCAAATGCTCCACTGTGTTTTTAAACTCCATACACCTTCACCAGAATCAATTGGATAATTTCAAACCTAGAATTGCCAATCTCTACTGAACTAAATGTTAAAAGTCACTGTTAACTTGAAAACTACTGCTTCCTGACATCATAAGGTGGAACAAAGCATTCTGAACTTTGGAAATATAGACAGATTAATAATAAAGGGTTACTCAAACATGTGTGAACGAAACAAAACACAACTCCAGGTATGGTTGTGATGAGGTAACATTATAACATGATTACATCTCACAAGAGTAAGTTTTGCGTAATGATATAGGCCCTTTAAATGTAAATTACCTTGGGAGTAGTGGCTCCTCTGTATAGTTAGACTTTGTTTGTGCAGTATACATCACTATTGTCACGTTTCCAATCGCCACTGCAATTGTGTACATAGAGTATATTTGACAACGTATCATTTTTTAAAATCAGTATACTTATATTTTGTAACTCTTATTTTTAGATTAAAAACCCCACTGTGATAAATAATCCAATTCCAACCATCAGACAAACAGTAATTAGGATGTGGAAAAATGAAGCTAAACGTTTCTTTCTAACTCAGCATTCTGACTCATAATTTTTGCTCTTTTATTTTTTTATGATGTTATCCAACTGTTAAATTATTGAACATCCATGTCTATTTCTCCCAGGCTCCAGCTGTTGGTCACCAGTACTTTGTGACCTTATAAAATCCTCTGACTCATGTCTCAGAAAACATTTAGTGAAAATTGTTCTCACAGGGTAGTGCCGCAAAACTGAGGAACAAAAATAAAGTTTGGTTGTGTTCTGACTGATTTGTGTATGCTTGAGTAATACTGTTTTGTTCTGCATATGAAGGCTTGAATGCTCAGAAAATTTCAGTTTTTACCTACTCCCTATCACTGCCCACTTTTCTGAATTTACTTGCAATTATTCACAAATTATATCCAGACTCATGGACTGAAATGTCGCAATAGAAACACATACATGGTGGCAGTAGCTCAGTTCATAGTGCATCGAATCCCATTCTTGTCAGAATCATCACTGGTTGAGCTCTCAGATCCACTAACCCACAGGTTGGTGGTGCGATTGTGTCCTTGGGCAAGATACTTAACCCACCTTAGCCCTTAGTGTCTATGTACACTGGTGTATGAAAGTTTGTATTGTAAAGTGCTGAAAGTGGAAAAGCGCTATATAAAAATGTGACCATTTACCATACATGAAAATATGCTGCTTAGTACGGACAAATGTTATGAACAAAATGTGAAATCAGCATCTATGTATGTTAAACTTGAATGCCAAAAAGAAAACATTTATTTTTCAAAAACTAGAGAAAAAATATTACAGGGTTGTTATAACATTTCATAATCTTGCTTGCTCCACTCTTGCCTGTCTTTGCGATTGCTTCACAAAATGTTGTACAACTTTGTCCCTTTGTCCTCACAGATAAGACTCCAGTAGCACAAGACGTTTTAATTAGTTCTCTCCGTCTGATCTCCGCTCGCCTGCTACCTGCAGCTGCAGCTGTGAGCCTTTCCACTCCTGCCTTCCATCATCCACCATTGCTGCACACTTAAATACCTCTATTTAACAAATGACATAATTGCATAAAGACTTGAATATAATTTACGCAACTCGTACATCACTCCTGTCCTCCTGGTGGGATTCAATATTTTATTCATTATCAAACTTCATTTTCCTCCATCATTTCTACATTAGGATGAATAAAACAAGCGCTCCCCTCACCTGGCTCATTACAGATGCTATCATTTAATGCAGCCTTGAAATGACTTGGGCCTAAAGGTAGATCTGAATGGGTTTAGAAGGAGGATTATATAGAATGGTCCTGCGTTTTTCTCTTTTTTTTTTTTTTTGTAGTTTTTTTCATTCACTGGAGCGCAAAGCCAATGAGTTCACACAAGAGATAATTAGCTAAAGCAAGTCTTTAATAGGTGCTGGTAATTTGGCACCTCTGGCACTACAGCGAATGACAACTCAATTTGAACTGTTTTTAGTGAGACGAGTGGAGAGGAGGAGGCATGCTGGGGCTGTGTTGGAATGCAATATAAAAATGGTTTAAAGGGGGTTCAATTCTGTTTGATAAGGTTTCAAAGGCTGGATCCATCAAGGAAGAGTATCTCAACAAACAGTATTAAAAGCACATCATTTTCCTTTTGAGTATAGACCAAATTTAGAAAAGGGAAGTTCACAACAGCCTTGGAATTTTTGAACTGCTCCTAAACAGTTTCCAAATTTGATATTCTGTGTATTTGAGTGGAATTTGTCTATATATATGTCCTGTGTACAGATATATCGTATACGCAGTTTTTGAGGTCAAAATAAGTACGCTGCTTGCCATTTGCATCTAATTAGAAAGGATTTTATTTTCCGGTAAACAGGAAGTGGACATTTACATGCTAGTAGTTCCGTTAGTAACTCCGCTCTGGTCTCTGAGAGTTGTGAAAAGTGCTTACAAAACTCATCATGGTAAATAATTAGGATGATCAGAATGAGTAAGTTAAGTGAAGAAAAGCTTTGAATCTGCTAACCTCAACTAGTTCTGTTTCTCATGTTTTTAAGAATCAGGCCTTTAAACCAAAATCCAGTTATTTTTATTGAGATGTTTCAGGCATTTCAAGTTCAACTTGAAACCTTTTCTACCTTGGCTGTAAGAAAAATTTACATGCACAAAATTATGTAAATTACTTGTGATTTGATATAGTGAAGCAAAAGATTATGTAATTATTATTGTTCACACATTTAATGAATTCTGTTCAGTTGGACCAATATACCGTGCTCAAATGCAGAAGAAAGATGAAGACAAATGGCTGGTAATTTCACAAAATTCAAACCAAATCAAGGTCTGAATTCTCATAAATCACTATGTGCAAACTGCATAATCTGCATAATAACTGTAAAAAAGAAAAAAAGGATTACATATTTGTTGCTTGTTTTCAGATGTGAAATAAAGCACTGCCGTAGACAAACAGAGCCATGGACTCCTGGGGTCAGTTCAGTTCAATGCATTTGTCACTTGCTGCAGTAAACCTTTCGTAAAGTGATTTGAAGTTAGCTCAACATATGGCAGAACACCTCCGAGACTTTTAAAACAATTAAACCCTTAGTGGGGCTGGTTTAGTGCTGATACCAGATGATGGAGAGACTGTCGCGGAAGATATATTTGTTTTTCTGTCTTTATCTCCTCCTCTCTTCACTCGTCTCTTTACTCCTCTCTTCACTCCTCTCTTCTGTGATACGGCCTGTTTACGCTGTTGGTTCAGAGCTGCTGCAGTCCGCCATGCCTGCCAAACACCCATCACAAAATGCTACAAACTTTAGCTATTTTTAACAATTTATTCTTATTCTTTCTGGGGACCTTATTTTACCTTGATCAAATTCTGGCACAGACCTGGAAGATGACTAAGGTTTTAGGGTAAGGTTTATTTCTGCTTATAATATATGTTGGTGTAGTGAGGTCTCAGGTGTTCCACTCTCGGGTTCTGGACCTAAACTTTTCTTTGGACTCTAAATCTGAGCACCCCTAAAAGACTTTACTGTAGCATCCGTTTATTTGTTTTTTCTAATCTAAAAGTCCAAAAGTGTTGATTTAAAATATTAAAATATTAACATGTACCTCACTTAATAATTAAAATAATGATAAAGCGTTAGTTATGGTGCTTTTTCAGAACGCATTGCTGCTTCAAGTTAGGGTTAGGTTAGTTTATTTGTCATCTGTTAAAAANGATTAAAAAAAAATAAAAATAAATAAAATAAAAATTAGCTTCTAAGGACTGACATATTTTATAGAAATAGTTTCCTTTCATTCTGAAGTAATATTAAAGTATTTGGAAGAAAAAAGCGACAAATTATGCAAAATCATGCACCTTCTACTTGCTTGTACAATTTTCCCTCCGTTACTTTTCCCTTCCGTTACCATGACCTTTCTTAATAAAAAATCTCATTACTCAAAAAGTAAGAGGTTTTTCAACCTAATCTTGTACCATATGGTAGAAAACTATATGAAGCAAAATATTCAAACCAGTTTGTTAAGGATATGTAAGTGAGAACCAAGAGTTATCACTGTTTGTATTTATTGCCCAAAAAGTGCTGCATATTTCATTCCCTCCGTTACCGACATGAGTTTTTAAATTTTTTCTCAACAACTTGAAAGAAAATCACAGGTTTAACTTTACCCTGTTGGAGTGTAACTCTTTCCTACATTCTGATACTTTACTTATTTCAATAGTCCCTCTAGTTTCTGAATAAGAGACATTTGAATGTAAAAAATCTGTCCCTGTTTCCCTCCGTTACCACTTGACCGGACCCTTAAAATAGGCAAGATCTTTAGTAAAGATTATCATGTATATATATATATATATATATATATATATATATATATATATATATATATATATATATATATATATATATATTTTTTTTTTTTTTTTTTTTTTTTTTTTCAATAGATTACCAGTAGGCCCATCTGTTATCTGTATCACTAACTTTTTTGGGAACTATATTGTACCTTTATGTTACCCAGCCCTATTATTATATAACCAAACCAAATGATTCAAATTCAATATTATTTACATGGATAACAATTAGTGTTGGAATAAAAACAGGAGATACAGAGAGATACCGACGTTGATATATTCTGGTGATGTAAATAAAGTTTGGAATACTCACGATGTCCATGTGACGGTGGTGGGGGCGGGGTTGGCGTTGGCGAGACACATGAGCGTGGCGTCCGATCGGCCCACGTACCAGTTGTGGTCGTAGCCTTCGATGGAGACTGAGGGCGGGTCTGCACACACAAGGAGCAATGTCAGAACAAAATACACTTTAAATATAATAATAACAAACTGAAACAGACGTGGGAAAAAATGGACGTGACCCTGAGAGATTTTAAACATTATTAAAGATGCACTACGTCACTTTTCTGATGAAGGGTCTGCCATCTGCTTTTTCCCATGGAGATGCCATCGTTTTACAGTGTGGCATTTATTAAATTACAGGTATTTTATTGCTCAAAAAAATTTTGAAATCTGTATAATGCTTTTCTACTTTCGAGCACAAAATGCGGTTTGTGAATTGATTTAAATTTGTTTACTACCCTGATTTTCAGTGCTTCTGATTAACAACTTTTTCACAGATTCAAGACAGAAAGATGAACACTGATCGATTTTTGTGACTATGGATTAACACTATATCAATTTTAAAGTCAAGTAGGGTCAAAGTTCAGCCTGTGCTGCTTCCAGGTTAAAGGTCGGGTCAGGGTTAAATGGTAATAATCATGCAAATATTGTACAGGGAACCAGGACATTAGATACAATGGGTTTTACAATATGATTTTAACTTTATTTTTACTTATTTATTATATTTAATTTTAACACCAAGCCAGGAAAAACAAATGTTATTACAAAGTGAAAAAAAAAAAAAATTAAATAAAAAATCTAATTAATTAATGAACAATAAATTCTAATACTAACAGGACGCGTAATTTGATAATTGTTGAACACAGTAAGTCTGAGAAATGTAATTATTACTGTAGATAACTCAAAAAGTATATTGAAGTGGACCTATTCTAGAAAATCAACATTTCAGAACTTTTTGTGCATGTTTAATCTTTAATCAACTTATTTTCAACACGCCATTTTGCCGATCAACACACATTTTCAAACCAATTGGTACACGCCCGCTGCTCATACTTTCGTTTTCTAATTTTATTTTCTTGATGGGTGATGTGGAGGGATGTAACAATCATCAAAATATCGTGATATCGTGTCTTCAAAGTTCTCACAATAATATCGTGGACTATCACAATATATCTAATCACAAGTCGATTTGCTTAAGGGAACTACATAGACCATGATCCTTTGCTCCATTTCAGTGCAGACGACAAGAAGAAATAACAGTTCTAAGCACGTTTAGGTCTAAGCTCTGAGTCTTGTCAAATCGTTTTAAGAGGAAAAAGTTTGCCAAAGTTCGTTCGCCTCCGCAAAATATCGCAATAAATATCGTAATGTGAGATTTGGATATTGTTACATCCCTAATCTTGAGCCTCCCCACCATATCGTGAGCTTTCCCACGATATCGCAATAATTATCGTACTGTGAGGTTCATACCGTGACGATATCGTATCATGAGACTTACACCCCTAGTGACGTGCGTAGGATTCGGCATTGTGCTGTAGTCATTTTGGTACAAGTGAAAAAAAAATCTGCAATTCGTTGGCCTGATCTGTAACTGTCCACTGGAGGAGCCGACAGCTGCACAGCTCTTTGTTGTGATGACGTTTATGCCACCGTCTGCTGAAAATGTCTGAAAATGTCTGTCTAAACTAGGGATAGGCATGATTAGTCCATTAATCAATAATTGATCATTAATAGTTTCATCGATTACGTTCATTTTAATTGACAAATCGAATGTAGATTGCTGTGCGTAGCGTAGCTTGACCAAACGTCAATGTCCGGGGACAAACGGAGGTCCGTACATGTAGCTCTGTACTCAGAAGCAGTGAGACACAAACAGATGGTCAGTCTGCAACGTACCGAAGCGCAAATGTGTTTAACGATTTAACGATGACTTGTACAAGAAATTCCACGCTTTCCGTTCCGGTCGGGACAAGTGTGAGGCCGTGTGCACAGTGTACAAAGCAGCACATATGTTTCAGTGTCCAGTGGAAAAAAGTTCACCAGGACACCGAAAACATGAAAAAGCTTTGCCAGGTGAGAGTCATTTAATGTCGATGACGAGGCCCCACCTCCCACCCCCCGTACGGTGTCCTGGTTTTGACAAACACAAACATGGTCACATTAACCTGTATTCAACTGAGCCGTGTCCTTTAGTTTGACAGAAGTTGAACCGCATCAGCGACACAAGAGCTGTTTTTTTTCTTCGCTTAGTTTATGCAAATTAGCGATGTAGTTTTAAGTTTCGTTTCTGTGAGAGCTGCGCATTAAACACAATCTCAAACGGGCCGATGTGGCTCTAGAGTCGTTACGGTTTATATGTCGTAAAGTTGAATTTATTTATGCAGATTAGGAGTGCAGATAGTAATAATAATGATGATCATTTTAATATAAAAAACGTTAATGACTAATCGATAATCGACCGTTAATTCTCCCGACGATCGATTAAGACAATTTAATCAAATGCCCATCCCTAGTCTGAACCCCAGTTTTCTAACGTGGAAGGCAGACGACAGTTTCTTTTATTAAGCCGTTTATTTAAAATGTTCAAATGTTAACATAATGATCCATAAGCACAGTATGTCCTCTTTGAGAAATTCAAAGAGGAACAGGGAAGGAACTGCCACGACCTTATTATTTCAAAGTACATTTAATGAAATAAAGTGAATAATCATCCAGTTAAAATGATGTCGCTGGGTGATTGAGACGTCCATTGTGTCATATTAATTAGAAGCTATAGCGACAAAGACACTATAGATAAGATTTAATTAGTACATTATTAACTGAGGAGAGATATGAAGAAATGAAAACCACAAGTCCATGAAATGAGCAGTCATAGATACACATAAGGGACATTACCGGGACCATATGTTTGGAAGCTTATTTTAGATTTGATGTTTAAATCACTGCTGTGTAGACAAACGAGAAAACAAATCTACAAATCATTCTGCTAAACTGACCTAAAATGTCGTCGTAGTTTATTTCACTTCTATGGGATTCTCAAATTTTGACTAAATCTGCTGGGATAAAACCTGCTGTGAAAATAAATTATAGTTTTACGCCAATCAACAAACAATTTACGAAGCGAGGTTTTAAAACATGATTAAAATTACAAGAAGTGCAGAGTTCTGTTTCAGAGAGTTGATGATATCTCAGTAGGGAGAATTCTATCCAAAAAGTTAGACACAATTTACGCAAGAAGCAAATGTTTATACTTGAAACATGATTTAAACTAAATAAATGTGTTAAACTATAATCTCTGTGTACATTTAAGGAGATTTGGACCAGTGTACTGCATGGTTGCTCGGTAACAGTTATGTAATTCCCTACTGTAATGCCAACATTTCCAACAAAGAAGTAAAATTTGAAACTTAAAAATAAAAACTAGCGGAAAAAACAGCACATTTTTAGATACAAATTAAATATAATGATTGTGTGTGTTTTAGTCATACGCACTTTCATTTAATAAAAGTTGCTTCAGCGGTGAAAGGGTACAGCAAGTGTGTACACAGGTATTATAGTGACTTAAAAAACACATTTTTGTTTAATTTAAAGTGAAGTGCTGCTGCCAAAAATTGTGCTTTAAAACATTTTAGATCAGTCTTACATACAAAACTTAAAGGTGCTTTGTGTAACTTTTCTGGTGGAGAGTTCGTCAAATGCTTTTCTCTGTAGAGGTGTTATCGCTTTGCCTTTCTATCATCATGGAGACCAAACAGAACAAAGTTACAGGTCAGATCTGTGGAGAGGTGACCGAGCTCACAATTAGAATGCCTGTTTTTCTAGGTATTTTTGATCTCAAGATGTGTGTACAGTCCATCAGTCGTCCAGGTAGGATCCATGGCAAAAGGAGAAATTCAATTTGTCAACTGGACAAAAGTTTATTTGGTCGAATACGTTTCTCAGCTCATCTAAGCTGCTTCTTCAGTTCTGGTCAGACGCTGGTGGACACTTCCTTATATCTGTCTGAAGTGAGGAGCTAACTACACTGAAACATCTCTGAAACTAACTCATCTACTTCACAGTTTACCGTTTCTGTTAGGTTATGTTTACATTGAAATGAATCACTATATCGGAAACGATTTGCGTCCAGACATGATTCACACATTAATGTGAAACCACTGGAAACGCACATGACTAGGCTGACATCACGTGGGCGGTAAAAACAAGGAAGTGGAGCACCGTGAAGTTGTTGAAGCCGATTTCAAGCCAAGGAAGATAGCAAGCGTGAAAACAGTCTTTTCTACTCGCAAGTAGTTCTCGCTACACTGTTTCCCGTTTGTCTATGGTTTGTTTAAACTGTTTTCCGCAATAGCGTCACATGAGCGATGTCATGAACCCAGAGAATCAGGAAGGCGCAAGTCACAGTGACATGGTCCAATAAGGATGACAACTACAGCTCCTACGTCAGCGTATCAACGTTTTCAGGCGTCCACACAGTGCCGGATCAGATGAATTTGTGGGAGCTGGTGGCACCAGATCGTTCCGTCTCTGGAGCCATTTTCCTTTGGATTAGTGTGGACGAACACTGCATCCACAATGAAAATTTACTTGAATATGTCCTGGTGTGGATGGGGCCTTAGTTAGTTCGGCCTATTGAACTTGTGCTGAGTGTGGGGTCGTATTAGCAGAATCATTCAAGGCCATAATGGAGCTTTCACACCTCTGGGCCTCACCTGACTGTCCTTATTGTTTTCTTTGTTTGTTTTGATTTAGATTTGAAGATGGAGTTGGACTGTAAACAAGTACGGTGTTAGTTTCAGAGCAGTTTCATTGTAGTTAGCTCCTCCCTTCACACAGACATAAGGAAGTGTCCACCAGCTTCTGACCAGAACTGAAGAAGCAGCTTGGATGAGCTGCGAAACATATTTGACAAAATAAACTTTAGTCCACTTGACAAATTGAATTTCTCCTCTTGCCATGGTATTTTTGAGCTATAAAACCTGTAATTGAATAAATGTAAGGTAGATAAGCAGGTGACGGAACCCCAACCAAAAAGTTACACTATGCACCTTTAAGTAGTAGTAGAAGTAAGTAACTATACTAAAATACAAGTTTATGTTTGGTAATCTATTCCCAAAAATAACAGTTACACAAAAGTCTACTCAGTTAC